TACCAGACGTAACATTGTGCCATCTACGTTTCGAACGCAGGAAAAGGCAAGTTTTGTATATGAATCTCCTTACACTATTAGAATGATAGGGTCGTTCTGGTGCCCTTCTTTTCAAGAAGCTAATAGCGCGTTGCTGATCTCCATTTCTGTACCATCAGCCAGGAGTGCCTTTTTTAAAGCAAGATTTGCAGTCATGCGGGAAGCACAGCTGTAGCTCCTGCTTCCTTCCCACGGAGCTGTATTCTGCGATTTCTGAGGGAGCAAAACCGAGTAACTCCGATCTAGGCTCTAACTTGGGACCAATCTACTCTGAATTCGGAACTTTACTGATTGAGTAAACCTCGTCTAAATGAACGCGTGGTAAATTTTTTGCTCAAGAAAATTCGTGAATAGGATAGAGATTGTCGTCAGGCTGAATAGAATCCGGAGTTTGAAGCCGACCTCATTATGCACTCCCATTCTGAGCAGAGGATGACATTTGATTGATACTTGATTCCGGTCATTTCAGTTTACTGGCTCGAACATAATTCGTCGCAGTTAGCACAAAACGACGTGTTCATGACGATGAACCTGTTGGAGTGACAGGAGGTGAAAAGATTGACGCAAGAGGCAAAGTCATATTCGTTGTCACTACGACATGGATGTCAATTTGAGTGTTGGTCATTGTACTGAAAACTTTATAAAAACACGGTTTATTCATATACAATGAAAGCAAATTGGCCAATCAGGTGATTAACCAGTACCGACGTTTCGAATCATGTCAGAATGAACTTCGGAAATCAATCCTGTTCACTCTGAAGAAGGTCCGTGACACACGAGCTGAAACGTCGGTACTGCTTAATCGCCCAGTTGTCCAATGTGCTTTCTTTTTGGATCAATATACAGTTTTCAGCTTCTTAAAATTTATTATTTTCTGAAAGTCACCAACGAAAGAGAAATTTTAGCCTCACCTTCCTGGTCTACGACCGATTCGGAGCTCATTGATTCTTTGGTTTAACCTACTTACTTGCTTATTCTTTAAGTAATTGCGCCGAGTCTACGTGAGCGATACTATTATTTACTTAACTTAATATATAACGATTTAGTGGAGGAACGAGTGTCCAATGTAATCTGCTTATTTGTTTGTCTCTTCCTTTCAGTGCT